TTTTTAAAAAAAGTGGGGGGTAATTGTTATTATTTATATATAAAATTATATTTATTTTTTGGGGTGATGTGTTGTAGTGGTTTATTTGATTTTAGGGTGTGTGTGAGTGTATTAGTTTTTTATTAAATAATACATCCTCTAAAATTAGAATAACCCTTAAAAGCATGACTTCTTTTAAGAATTTCACAAAAAAAAATAATAAAACACACATTTTTGATTTTATTTAAAAAATAATAAAAAATTGCTATTTTTACTCTATTTAATAATTATCTCATTCCCACGGACCACTTTTCCATTTTTCACCCTTGTTATAATGAAGATGACAATAGTATAATACAATTTTCTTTTTCTTTATTAGAATTTGATTCTCGGTCGACTCATTATATTATAATTTTTTTTTAAATTAATTAATTAATTAATAGTAGATAATTAAACTATTTTAAAAATTAGGGATTTTTAGTGTATACATTTATCAAATAGGTATATAATTAGGAAAAAACATAAAACAAAGTGCACATACACACACATAAACCACACCCCCTACATTACATAGAAATTATAAATAATTTTATTAAATTTTAAATGCCTATGTAAATGATAACTATTGGAAGTGAGTGAGATGTGAGTGAGTAATCATTATAAAATATTAAATATTAATATTTTTTATAATTTATTTAAATATATTTTTTATTTTTTATTAATTTTTATTTGTTGTAATAATAATAAGGAAACATATTAAATAATACTCTTTTACATTCAAAGGGTAAATCTATATTTGGTATTAGTTTTTTGATAATAAACATTAACATTCTGGGTGTTATTTGTTTGGGGAGTGCTGAGGATTGTTGTTGTTGTTGCTGCTGTTGTTGATTTTGTTGTTGATTTTGTTGCTGATGTGACAGTGTTGAAGCACCAATTAATCCTTCTATCTCAGCTTTCTGAGGTTGAACTTTAGCTTCCCTATAAAGGAACATTGTTAAATTAATATCATCATTTTGTATTGCTTGAAACAATAGTTTATTTAATTCACCCCTTTCAAATAAACCAAATAATATTTGAGGAAATTTTTCTACAATAAACTTTAGGTTGCATAATAAACTTGCTTTAATTGTTGATTGTAAAAGTATAAATATATTATTTTTAATTTCTATTATTATTTTTTCATTATTATTATTATTATTATTATTATTATTATTATTATTATTATTATTATTATTATTATTATTATTATTATTATTATTATCTTGTATAATCTTTTGATTTTCTAAATTGTATTTTTCCAACTCGGATAACACTACAGATAGGAACCCCTCTAATATTTTTATGATTGATCTTTTACCAATTGCTCTATATATTTTTGAATTTCTTATATGTTCAATTTTGTTTTGATTAATTATCTGAATAAAATCGTCATATTTCTTATTTTTAATTAAGTATATTGGGTTATTGTTATTATCTATTATATTTGTATTGTTGCAAGTATTTATGTTTGTAAAGCTATTACTATTTTCATTATTTGAAAATAAACTGTTTACTATTTCTTTGTTTTCATTATTGTTAAATTTTTTATCATCTTCTTTAGTTGTGTTTATTTGGTTACTATCTTTTTTATTATTTTTTACTAATAGCCTAAAATACTCTAAAAGATCAGTTCTGTTTCTTTTTATTAATGATTCCTTATTAAATTCTAATGATATGTTGGGGTTACAATTGCCATAATTATAAAAATAATCAATTAATTGTTTAGACTCTATATATTCAAATAGGTGTATTTCTATTTGTTGTTGTTGTTGGTTTTCTATTAAAAGTTGTGAGACCAATTTACTGAAGCATTCTTTAATTAGATTAAAATCATTTATTTTTAAAATTTTATAAAAGATATTTAAACTATTAATTTCATTAACTTGATTTAAACTGTAATAATAATTTATAAAGTTTCCTATTTCGGCCCTATCGTTGCAATATTTAAATATACTTGTAATTTCTATAACTGGTATGTTTTCTTTAATAATTGTAATACCAAAGTTTTTAAATTCTTTTATAACTCTATAGTTGGCATACTCTATACATAATGAATATAATAGCATTGAAATTGAACCTGAGTTACTGTCACTTCCAGTTAGTTCTAGTATCTGTTTACTTTGGTTACTATATTCGCTTTCTTCATTTTCTTTTACAGTTTGGTATTTTAATATAAAATGGTAAACCAACTCGCAACCCTCTTGAATAATACCATATGGAATTAATAAATGACAATACCAATATAGCAATCGATAAACTCTATTGTCTCTACAGTCAAATTCTAAAATATTACCATTTAATTCATCACTTGAAAATTCTAATTCATTTAATTCATTTTCTATTTCTTCTATTGGGGGTCTTTCAACTAAATCAAATGCTGAATCTTGATCAAAATCATCAAAGATATTTTCTTCATCTTCTTCGGGTTGATGCTGAGGTTGTTGGGTTTCTTCTTGTTGTTCAATATACACATATCTTTTTAAAATTAAAAGAAATGATTTCAAGAGATGGAGCAGTTCTTCAAGGGTGTTGTTTTTTGGAAGAGGAAAATAAAGGAATAGGTCTTGGTATTCGAAAGTTATTTTATTGGATTTGTATATTTTATCGATAACAACCGGATCTTTACATAAATAGTAGCAATGAACACCTATGGGGTTACACTTGATTAGGTCTATTTTCATTACATCGATTGCATATCTTGCGAAAACTGTGCATATCTTTGAATCTAAATAGTTGAAAAATATATTTTGTAATATCGCCTCTTCAGTATACCCTTCAGTACGGTTTTGAAACAAAAAATCCATAATTTTAAAATCACCCACTTGAATAGCATAGTCCAATGCACTCTTTGACACCTTGTAGTCGCCATCTTTAGTAAACTCCTTTAAAGCTGATAAATTATTAAATCTACATATCGTTTCTAACAAGTGAGGCAGGTAAATAAGTTGATCTTTGTAATACGTAGACAGACATCTATAAAACTCTTGATCATCACCAATATATCTGGTTATAAAGTCAACAATCTTTAATGTGGAGTTATCAAACAAAAGATGATCTCCTCTTTTAATTTTATATTTTAATAAATCTATTAAATTGCTATTACCATTATTATTATAATTGTTGTTATTGTTATTTGTAGAAATATTTTTTTTGATGTTAATATTATTATTGTTGATGTTATTATTGTTGATGTTATTATTACTGTTAACAATTTTTTTTTTATTTTGAGATTCTATTGATAAAAGTATTGAAATTGAGTTTAACTCTTCGTATCTCTTATATTGTTTCCCAATTTGAGGAAGATAATTTATTATGAGATTATTTAAATAAACATTTCGATAAACATTAAAAAATAATATATCCATAAATTTTATTTAAAGATTATTAATAATGATCATATGTTTTGTTTTTTAATAAATCTTTTAATATATTATAATCTTTTGTTAAAAAAAAAAAATAAAAATAAAAAAAAATAAAAATTAAAAAAAAAAAAATTTTAAATGTTTTTTTTTTTTTTTTTTTTAGAGAGATAATAATTAAACAACTAAACAATTAAACAATTATTCCAAGTATTTTCATGTAATAAAAAATATAGTTATATTTTTTTTCATAAAAACTAAAATTAAATTTATTGGAAATGTAAATATATAATATTAATATAAAAAAATAATAAAAATAAAAATAAAAATAATTTTTTTTTTTTAGTTTTATAGATTTGTAAAAATTAAAATTTCCTTTTTAAAATTTTAAATAAAAAAAAAAATTAAAATTAAAATATTTTAATTTAATGTATACAAATAATGCTCTAGAGTTAATATTATATGTTTAAAAACCGAAACGAACGGTTATAAAATAAAGATATCTTTAATTAATTCTTTTCATAGTAAAAATAAATTAAAAAAATATAATTTAAATTAAATATTTGTGTATAATGTGGGAAAATATGATTCTAAAATGGATCTTTAAAACTTAATCATTAAATCTATTAAAATTAGAGTGTTGGTCATAGTTTTTAAAAAACTATAAATAGTTTGAAAAAAAAATTTTAAAGTCATTCCAAATTCAACTGTTTTATTAAAAAAATAAATATAATAATACAAATAAAATTATAAAATTATCAAAGTAAAAAATGTTTGTCAAATATTCTTTAGTTTTAATTATCTGTACCTTGTTACTCTCTGCTTTTTCTGGTAATAGCTTTGTATCTGCTGGTGATTGCTCTTGTGGTGGCTCTGGTTCTACTTCTGGTTCTGGTAATAATGGAGGTATGGCTACCGGTAGTTATGGTAATGATCCAAGTGTTATCCACGACCCAATTGTAAAGATCTATGGCCATTGGGACTTTGAAGGTTCATTGTATGTATACAATAAAACTGATGGTTATGTCCAATTACCTGACGAATTCCGTAACAATGTTCAATCATTCCAATCTGGTATTGATGTATGCTTTATCAAATGGTATCCAAGAGAACAATACCAAATCAAAGCTGGTGATTACCATAAAAACTATGCTGCATTAACAAACTTTGGTCAAAGAATGGACGGTCTCTATGCTGGATCTTGCTCTGATGTCATCTGCCCTGTTTCAAACTAAGCTGGATAATATTAAACAATTAACCCATATTGGTTTTTGCATTAAACAACCAAAATGGTTTTTAAAAAAAAAAAATTAAAAAATAAAAAAAAATTTAAAAAAAATAAAATTTTAAAAAATAAAATATCTGCAATTTCGAAATTTTTTTTACTCTTAATTTTTTGATGGTTTTTTTTGAAATTGTTTATTATTTTAAAAGTCGGTTGTATTTGAATTAACCAGGCGGGATTTGGGTTTTATTCCTCAAGATTGCAATAATAAATTTTTTATTTTTTTTAAATTTTTACATTCATTTTAATTTCATTTGGTATTAATACTTTTTTTTTTTTTTTTTTTTTTTTTTGTTTTTTATAAAAGATAATTTTTTTTCATCTTTTTTTTTACAAATTTTTTTATCAAATTCAATTTTAAAATATATATATATAAATATGAAATTATTACCACTCTTATTAGCTTTATTATTAGTTATTGGTGTCACCAATGCTGTTAGCTGCAGCAAATATAGAAATGCTTTATATTGTCATCTCGCTGTATAATATTAAAAATTATATAAATATAAATTTTTTAAATTTTTTATAAAAACATTTTTGTTTTTATTTTATTTTTTTTTATTTTTATTTTTTTTTAAAGATTTGTAAATTATAATTTCCTTTTTAATTTTTTTTTATTAAAAATAATAAATTAAACTAAAATACAAATACTGAACTAGAGTTAATATTATATTTTTAAAAACCGAGACGAACGGTTATAAAATAAAGATATCTTTAATTAATTCTTTTCATAGTAAAATAAAGTTTAAAAAATTATATTTTAAATAAAGAATTAAATATTTCTATGAAATGTAAAAAAAGCAGAAAAAAGATTAAATAATAAAAAATGTAAATTATATTTTTTTTATTAAATTTTTAATTTTTAAATTCTCCTTTGGGAGTTATCATATCATTAGAGTTTAGATAATAATCTTTATTTAATTTTAACTTCTTTGGTTAATTGACTTGACCATGGGCAGAATATATTACCTGGTAAGAAAGCTATATGTTTTAAAAAATAAAAAAAATTAATAAGCGCATTAAGAAAAAAATTTCAAATTTTATATTTTTTTAACATACCACCACCAACCTCATCAATATTTTCTTCAGCATATTGAAGGGTAGCATCACAAACTTCAATAGCAAATTTGAAAAAAGAAGTTTGATCTGGATCTAAATGGAAGCTGTAATCTAAAAAAAAAATATTAAAGTAAAAAAAAAAAAGTTAAATAATATATCCCTATTTTATTTTTTTGAATAAAAAAATACATACGTGGGTTATAATCTTTTCCTTTGAGTTTAATTCTTCCCATTACGTGAGTATTTTCAGTTTCCTCTTTTAATAATAGAAGTATTGTTTTTGTTAATATTAATGAACCTTATAATAAAATTATTATTCTAGCACATACTTCCTGATAAAATGTCTCTTGCCATTTCAATTTTGTTTAGGTCTGTTAATTTGAATACAAAGTCATGTTTGCTTCCATGTGTCTTAAATGCAAAGTAAGCCTCTTCTGCTGAAACAAAAGCAGAGAAAGTAAGTAAAATTACAAGGAGAGTGAGTAATAATTTCATTTTTATTTTTTATTTTATTAAATATTTGTTTTTTTAAATGGATGTATTTCTTTAAAAATTAAAAAATGAAAAAAAATTGTTTAAATAATAAACCATTATTCATAATTAAAACTATTTTTTAATAAAATTAAATTAAAAAATATATAATGTTTTAGCTTTACGAAAAAAAAAACTTAGTGTGCCCCATTATGAAAATATAAATAGTAAAACTTTTTACATTAAAATAAAAAAAAAAAAAAATTTCATTTTACCTGCAAAATACCCTACTAAAATTGTTTTCATCGACATAAATTAATTGTGCCTTTTTTTTTTTCTGAAAAATCCAGATATAGCAAGATATGAATTATTGGAAAGGAGATTAAAAAAAAAAAAAAAAAGATTGATATTTGAATACTTGGGCATGAAAGTTTAAATATTCAATATTTGCTCATTTTATTCATTATTGATTTAATACAGTGCATAGAAAGGTTTGTTTTATTTATTTTAAATTTATTTCAATAATTTTTTTTTTTTTTCTATTCAATTCAAACAATGCTCATATTTTTTATTTTTTAAAATATTTATTTTTTTATTTAAATTTTTGATAATATATTTCAAAATATGACTATGATGATTTTTATAAATTTTTTATAAATTTTTATATTTTAATAGTATTTAAGATTTGTAAAAATTAAAATTAAAATTTCCTTTTTTAAAATTAATTTAATTTTAAAAAATTAAAATTAAAATATTTTTTATTTTATATCATTATTTTTATTATTTTATAAAAACACAAATAATTCTCTAAAATAAATATAATGTATTTAAAAACCGAAAGAACCGTTGAAAAATATAGATATCTTAAACTTATTCTTTACATAGTAAAAATAAATTTAAAACAAAAAAAAATATTATTTATATGTTGAAATTTCAGCGAAAGCAAACGCAATGTAATTAAATAAAGTAATTTAATTGAGATCTTTAAATTTTGTAAAGTGCTCCATAGACTTTAAAAAACTATAAATAGTTTGAAAAAAAAATATTAAGTCATTCCAAATTCCAATTAAATATTCAATAAATAAAATCAATTAACATAATTATAATAATACTCATTAATAATTAAAAAATAAAAATAAAGTAAAAAATGTTTGTCAAATATTCTTTAGTTTTAATTATCTGTACCTTATTACTCTCTGCTTTTTCTGGTAATAAGTTTGTATCTGCTGCTGGTGATTGTTCTTGTGGTGGCTCTGGTTCTACTTCTGGTTCTGGTAATAATGGAGGTATGGCTACCGGTAGTTATGGTAATGATCCAAGTGTTATCCACGACCCAATTGTAAAGATCTATGGCCATTGGGACTTTGAAGGTTCATTGTATGTATACAATAAAACTGATGGTTATGTCCAATTACCTGGCGAATTCCGTAACAATGTTCAATCATTCCAATCTGGTATTGATGTATGCTTTATCAAATGGTATCCAAGAGAACAATATCAAATCAAAGCTGGTGATTACCATAAAAACTATGCTGCATTAACAAACTTTGGTCAAAGAATGGACGGTCTCTATGCTGGATCTTGCTCCGATGCCATTTGCCCAGTATCAAACTAAAAAATTTTAATAAAAATTAAAAAAAAATTATAAAATATCTTTTAATCCTTGGAACCCGTCCCTGGAGTAATTACTACTGTTTTTATTAAACTTAATTTTTTTTTTGTTTTAAAAAATAATTTATATTTCATTTTGAAATATTGGCTTTATTATATTAATATTAATCATATACATTATTACAGCTGCTCCACCATGTTTGGTCACTGTTTTACCATTAAAAGTTGAAGGCACTGAGTGAAATAACTGCTTCTACAGAACTTTCAGCTGAAATATGTAAAGAAAGTACATATATTGGTTTCAAATGGGAAAATAATCAACAAACCGAACAAGAGGTGAGTAAAAGTATAACTCTATTAAATTTGATATATAGTGATTAAAAATTATCGTTATCGTTTATCGTTTTTTGGATCATCTGGAATTTGTTCAAATTTATTCAAAAGCACAATTTAGCGAATTATTACCAAGTCTATTCAATACTATTTTATCAATTGTAAAAAAAATTAGATACTAAATTATATCATGAAGAACTATATATAATAAAAAGGAAAATGGTAAAAAATAAACATATTATTTATAAAAAATAAAATTGAAAAAAATTTAAAAAAATTTAAAAAAAAAAAAAAAATGTTTATTAAAAAAAATAGAAAATTAATTAAAAAAATTGTGATGTGCATGTTTCTGCTGTTATTTTGGATGAATCAGCAAATTTTATAAAATAAATAAAAATGAATAATTTTTTTAAAAAAAAACTAAAAAAAAGATAATTTTTGTTAAAAAAATCGAAAAATGAATACGCCAATGATAATTTTTAATCTCTAAAAAAAATTAATATTATATACAAATATTATCTAATTTTTCTAATTTCAACTGTGATGGTCACTGACATTATTAATTTAGAGTAAATAATAAACCTCATTCAATTTAATCCCTTTAAAATATTATATTAATATAATATTTTTTTTTTTTTTTTAAAATATTTTATTTTATTTAAATTTATGATAATATATTTCAAAATATGACCATGATGATGTTATATTTTTTTTAATTTTAAATATTTTTATATTTTTATAGTTTCAAAGATTTGTAAAAATTAATATTAAAATTAAAATTTCCTTTTTTAAAATTAATTTAATTTTAAAAAATTAAAATTAAAATATTATTTATTTTATATCATTATTTTTATTATTTTATAAAAATACAAATAATGCTCTAGAATAAATATAATGTATTTAAAAACCGAAAGAACCGTTGAAAAATATAGATATCTTAAACTTATTCTTTACATAGTAAAAATAAATTTAAAACAAAAAAAAATATTATTTATATGTTGAAATTTCAGCGAAAGCAAACGCAATGTAATTAAATAAAGTAATTTAATTGAGATCTTTAAAATTTTTTTGAGTGTTCAATAGTGTTTAAAAAACTATAAATAGTTTGAAAAAAAAAAATATTAAGTCATTTCAAATTCCAATTTAATATTCAATAAATAAAATCAATTATCATAATTATAATAATACTCATTAATAATTAAAAAATAAAAATAAAGTAAAAAATGTTTGTTAAATATTCTTTAATTTTAATTATCTGTACCTTATTACTCTCTGCTTTTACTGGTAATAAATTTGTATCTGCTGCTGGTGATTGCTCTTGTGGTGGCTCTGGTTCTACTTCTGGTTCTGGTAATAATGGAGGTATGGCTACCGGTAGTTATGGTAATGATCCAAGTGTTATCCATGACCCAATTGTAAAGATCTATGGCCATTGGGACTTTGAAGGTTCATTGTATGTATACAATAAAACTGATGGTTATGTCCAATTACCTGACGAATTCCGTAACAATGTTCAATCATTCCAATCTGGTATTGACGTATGCTTTATCAAATGGTATCCAAGAGAACAATACCAAATCAAAGCTGGTGATTACCATAAAAACTATGCTGCATTAACAAACTTTGGTCAAAGAATGGACGGTCTCTATGCTGGATCTTGCTCTGATGCCATTTGCCCAGTTTCCAACTAATGTAAACTTTAACTATGTCTTACCAACCAATAAGTAAGCATACATGGTTTATTTGAAAAGGATTAATCACTGATGATACTATTGTTGCATTAAAAGCAAAACAAAAAAAAAAATAAAAAAAATAAATAAAAAATAAAAAAAAAATAAAAAATTTTAAAAACCACAAAAATTTAAAAAAAATATTTCTTTTACTAAAAAAGAGTAAAATTTGATTAATTATTATTTTATAATTTAAAATTTTTTTTAATTAAAAAAAAATCTAAAAAAAAAAAAAAATTTTAAAATTTTTTATTTAATTTTTTACCAAAATATATTTTTTTTAATATTTATTTATCAACCACCTCCTTATGGGTAGTTAAAGTTAAAAATGATTATTTATAAAATGACATTAAAATAAAATTTCATTTTATCAAAAACACAACAACTAGCTTTTGTAAATCCAGAGTGGTTATATTTGTTTTTGTGTTTTTTATTTATTTTCTATCCCAGCACTCAAACAATTCAAATTTTTCCAAAAGACCAAATGATAAAGATTTTTTATCAAACTTTCTTGAAAAAACTCATTAGGGTCTCATAAACTCTTTTTACCATTTATAAACCAAATAAATATTATTTACATATATTCATTATTTTTAAACAAATACATACATACACATACACATATATAAGCACCCACACAAACACCCAAACACACATTCACACACATACACACACACACACAAAACTCACACTCAAACACTCAAGCACACACACAAAAACACACACCAAGATAAATTTAATAAAATTTTTTTTTTATTATTATATAATTTTAATTTTTAATAAAATTTTTTATATATTTTTATTTTTAATATTTTATTTTATTATTTATTTTTTAATTGTATATAAACAAATAAATTAATATAGTTAAAATATATCTAGTTTATTAAATATTTTTTTATATTATTGGTTTATATTAATATTTAAATAAAATGAGTAGTAAAACCAAATCATTTAAAAACAACTATAATTTAAATAATAATAATAATAATATAAATAATAATATCAATAACATTAGTAATATAAGTAACAATAATAATATAATAGTAACAACTACCACCACTACTACAACATCAAATATTGGATGTAATAGATGCATATTATGCAGAAGAGGATGTCCAAAAATTTTGACCAAAGAATATATACCAGAACTAAAAGATTTTCTTCGTACCATTATTTACATTTTAGCCAAAAAACAAAAGAAAGAATATGATAAACTTCATGCAGATGACAGTGATGATGAAGATGACGAGGAAGAGAATGAAAAACAATACCAATTTGTACAAACTAAAGATATCAACACATTTATAATCACCCATAAAAAACTATTAAATTTTAACGACGGTATTGTAATGGATAAGGATAGTATTACCAATTGCTTATCTCATAAACATAAAATATTCAAGTCTGGTAAAATAAAATATGGTATTGGTTATTGGGCATTAGTGGATCCATATGACAGCCCTTGGGATCAAAAACAGCAACAAGCAAACCAAGTTTCGAAATCAAGAGGCAATACTGGTCCAATTTGTGGTGCAATCACACATCGTGGTAACATTTGTCAAAAAACTTCTATTTGTCCATTTCACTCAAGTTCGATTGTAAATAATAAAAGTAATACAAATATCAACAACAGCAATAATCATAATCATATTCATAACGCCAATAATATTAATATGAATAGTTATAACAATAATAGCAATTCAAATAATAATCATTTGCATGGTAATAAGGTAACAGTTTCGACAGGTGGTTCAATTGATATAGTTCCGTCCAATTGTTTGTGTTTATTATGTAAAAGAGGCACCCCAGTAAAATTAAAAGAAACACCAGAATTAAAAGATTATCTTAAAATTATAATTTATGTATTATCAAATAACAAAGATACAAATAACGAGGAAGAGGATAGATATGTTCAAACCATTGATATTCATAATTTTATTTCATCACACAAAATACTATTAAATTTAAATCAAAACCTAATTCCCGATCGAAATAGTATAACAAATTGTTTATCTCACCAACATCGAATTTTTAAATCAGGCAAAGAAGTATATGGTTTTGGGTATTGGTGTTTACGTGATCCAAAGGAAGATCCATGGAATGATTGTTCAATCGATTTCACTCAACAAATTTTACAACAGCAACAACTTTCATCATCCTCATCCTCACCAACCCAGTCAACTTCCCAACTTATTTTATTACAACAACAACCACTTATAATAAAGAAACAGGGCCCAATATGTGGAGCCATTACAAATAGAGGGAATATCTGTAAGAAACCATTAAACAAATGTTTATTCCATACAAATAAACCAAATTTAAAAAATATCAATAATCCAAATTTTAATAATAATAACTACAGTCTATTAATCGAACAGCATCAAAAACAACTTCAACAACAGCTTCAAACACCAACATCACAATCATCCCACCATCGAAATATACAATTCCTGGATAAAGAAAAAGATGATGATAATCACTCATTTGATGAGTCAGATAGTGATGAGGATGAAAATATTAATAATAGCAATAATAGTAATAATAGTGATGACTTTAATAGCAGCAGCTCCAGTAGTGGTAGTAATTTATATCAAGGAAAGAGAGAATATATTGAAGAAATTAACGATAATTGTGATTTTTTACCCAAAATAAAAAGATTAAACTCAAATGAAAGTTTGAATAATTTTTCAAACAATACCACCATATATATAGGTATTCAAGATGATTTTAATCAGAATAACTTTTTTGATAAACCACCATCACAACCATCATCACCACTATCAAACAATATAAGTAATAATAATTGTACTTCTACTTCAACCTCAACTTTAGTTTCAACTTGTAACAATTATAGTAGTCATAGTTATAACAATAATAACAATGTAAATAGTGTAAATAATAGTCAACAACTAAACAACAGTGTAGTTAATAATAGTATTTCTTTAGTATCATTAGCAGCAACAATGTCTCAAGAAAAAATATCAAATTCAATGTTTTTATCAATTCCAGATTGTAAATTAACAAATATTATTCATGCATTAGAATTGGAGAAAAAGGTATTGAACAATTATTCATTTTATAGTATTATCAATAGATTACAAGATACGATTGGCGAATCCCTACATGTTCGTCTTTCGAGAGAATATACAAGATATATGATTATCAAAGCAGCTGAAAATGATATTGACCAATTAGTTCCAAGTCCGCTTATAGATATTTTTCATAGAACCCATTACCAAGATTCTCTTCGTTATAAAGATTTCTGTAAAATGATTCAATTCGATGTAAATATTAATATGTCATCCTCATCATCAATTGGATCCCTTATTTCACTATGTTCATCAAGTAGCTCAACATCCGATTTATTAGAACCATACAATATCAACATTCCAAGAGAACAACAAAAAATGAATTATAAAAAATTTTTAGAGCTATATAAAAAATATTTTCATAATAATATTAATCATAATACAAACAATTTAATTGATACCGAAATATGGGTATTGGAATTACAATAGCCAACGGATAAATTAAAATAAATATAGTGTTACATTACAGTACGACAGTCACTTCACACAAACACACAAAAACTTAAATTTTTTTTTTTTTTATTGTAATTTTTCATTTTCCATTTTTTTTTTTTTCTATATTAAAACTCAACAACAAAAAGACAAAATAACAACCAAAAATAGATAAAACAAAAAAACGTAAAAATTCAATATGAAATCTGCTATTTTTGTTTCTTACAAATTAATATAAAAAAAATAATTTTATTTTTTTTTTATTTTTTATTTTTTTTATTTTTTCAATTCAGATAAATTTGGATAATAAAAATAGAATAACTATTGAGTTATTGCCCACTAATAGTGAAGAAGATTAAGTTTTGTAAAGAAAATTTTTAAATATTTTTTTTTTAAATTTTTTTTTTTTTTTTTTTTTTATAATTGCTATTGATCTCATGCTATTTTTGTGATTCCATTTTTAGAAAAAAAATATATAAATATTTATAATAATATTAAATATAAAAAAAATAATATAAATATTTTTAAATTATAAAAATATATGAGGCTTTTTTTAGAAGCACACATCATTGTGGAGAAATTATTAATACACCAACAAAAAAAAATATAAAGAAAAAAAAATTATTTTTTAATTTTATATTAATAAAAAAGTGACAAAAATAGTATTGACTTAAAAATTAACTTATGAAAGGATCAATTATTTCATGATAGATACAGTAAGACCCCTATGAAATAAGTTTTTTTTTATTTATTTTTTTTTGGTACTAAACCCAAATTGGGGGAAAAAATTGTGGGTGTTTAGGGCAGTTACTAACCCTTTTTCCCCCCCTTGAATAAAAAAAGTTCTTTCCATAAACCATTTGTCCCCCAAAAAAAAAAAAAAAAAAAGAAAAATGTATTAAAAAAATGCATATAATATTACATTTTCAAAAAGACCCAATGAAAAAAAAAAAAAAAAAAAAAAAAAAACAAAAACAAAAACAAAAACAACAAGAGAATTTCTTCCTTCACTCTATAATTTTAATAACAATAACAACAACAACA